CCAGCCCTCCACCCCAGCCCCTCACCCGAGCCCCTCATCCCAGCCCCTCATCCCAGCCCAGCATCCCAGCCCTTCATCCCAGCCCAGCATCCCAGCCCTTCATCCCAGCCCAGCATCCCAGCCCTTCATCCCAGCCCCCTCATCCCAGCCCCTCATCCCAGCCCCACATCCCAGCCCCGCGTCCATCCCGGCCCCGCATCCCGGCCGGGTTTGTGTTCCTGGGAAGCAGAGGGAAAGGGGAGACGAGATCGATGTGGAAAATGGACAACCCGGAGTGGGTTTGGGGTCTCGTCCTCAGGGTGTGTTTGCAGGGGCTGGTTCAGCTGCCCCTCCTCGCTGCCTCCCTACTTTGTTAAACCTCTCGTCGTGCTGTGGGAGCATGTTGGTGCAGTTCACATGCAGGGGGAATCAGGGAAATAATAGTCATTTTCCCTTCTTTCCAAACCCCCCTTGTGTGTTTGTTTATCCACATGTACCCTGACTTCTTCCCACCCAAAATCCAGATGAGTAATCTGTAGGGACTGTGAGATGGGGGTATAAAAGCTGCTTCCATTTTAACCCTTTTTTCCTGTGCTGTCACTTTGTGCATGTTCCTGGAGGGCTGTAAGAATCTTACCAGGTTTTCTGGCGTTTTGCAGTTGGCCCAAAGCTTTTCCAGTATGTCATAAAAGTCATCGTGCAGGCAGTACAGTTATTGTACACAATGCTGAAAATAGATCAGCCATCCTATATTCTTCTTCAGGTATGTTTTGTTGCTGGGGTTAATATTAATACCATTAGTACTACATGACATTGTTTTTAGCAGTCTCAGGCATTGTTCTCATTATTTGAGAGCTAAAACTGGCCTAATCAATGGTTGTAAACCTAGATCAAACTATTTGTTTTTCCTTTGAGTTTTCTGTTAACAGCTCAGGTTTGTTCTTCCTCTTAACTGTTGAGCTTTCAGACTTCATTGGCTTGGATAGAAGTAATGAATAAATCTTAACAGAAATTTTTGTGTGTTTAGTGGAGGGGAATTTTGATCCTGATCCCATGGTGAAGGTTGAAATGTCTACCCATCTTTATAGGAGAAACTGATACTTCTGTAGCTGATGGATGCAAAATTGTTTCTGTTCATTAAGATCCTTTAAAGCAACGTAATTTCAATAGTTTGAATTTCTCTCTTGGTAGTTGTTTGGTCATTCGATCACAGTCTTGTGCTATTTTGGTTTTATTTTTTAAGCAGAATCCTCCAGGCTTACCCAGTATAGCTGTTGCCTGGGTAGCCTGTCTTTTCTGGAAAAGCAAACTGATAATTGACTGGCACAACTATGGATACACTATCATGAGTCTGAGTCATGGAAGAAATCACCCCCTGGTACAAATTGCAAAATGGTTTGTACTGCAATTTCTTCTCCTGTCTATACATTCTCTAACTTTGCAAAATTCAGAAGAACAGAAACCAGTGGAGAGAATATAAGTAGTAAAGGGCTGTTTCTGGCAAGGATTTCTGAGTTTTGCTGTGTTAAACTGCTCTCTATTTCAGAAAGCAGGGGCTGTAACTTGCCTTTGTTAAACACGTAGGAAGGCTGTTGATGAAGTGGGCAGGTTGATTTATGTGCATGTGCAAACCCCTGTCCTGTTGTTAGAAAGGCTTTTATATGTGCTGGGGGTTTTAATTCTCCAGTGCTTTACACTCCAGCTCATGTTTGAAGGTGTTTCTTGCTGAGTCTGATTGGTCACACATGGAGAAAGGCTCCAAAGGCCTTTGAGTATGGGATCTTAGGTCCTTCAGGACTGGGAGTTGTGCTAGATCCCTTCCCATAAACTGACAGTGCTTCAGCATGAGGAGCTAAACAATAATTGATAATTAAATGTCAGTTACTGGGCTCAGTTGAGGTTCTTTTGGTTTTCTTTGGCTTTAAATGAGCATGGACACTGGTGTGCAGTTACAGGATTTTATTTGGCCTGTGGTTTCTAACTAAGATTTCATTTTTCCCAGGTATGAAAGGCTTTTTGGGCGTTTGTCTGACTATAACTTGTGTGTCACCAACGCCATGAAGGAAGATCTGTGGGTGAATTGCAACATCAAGTAAGTAACACCCCTTTAACAAACTAACTGTGTACACATGCCGAGTAAAATGGAAGAACGTATCTCTGGTGGTTCTGGATTCAGAGGAATCTGACAGAAGCACCTTCCCTGAGCCCCCCTGTCAGCACTGAAACACGTTAGCTCAGTTTTATAGTGACTGTGAGAAGTGTGGGAAGCCAGGAATCTTCACTGCCCTTCAGAATCAACACCCTCCTGCCTGGAAGGTGGCAGCCCAGGTGTTCCAGAGGTTTGCTGCCTGTAGAACTGGGATGAGGCAGACACCCCTGTGTTTTTTAACAGGGAGTCTGCCCTGCACATTTTTCTTTTGCAGTCAGGGAGCTTTAAGACCAAAGTTGCTCAAGGATGGTGATGAAGTAAGGTTAAAAATCAGGGCAATGATGTCTGCAGTGCTTATATTTGCATTGCACCCCTTCAGCATGCACACCAGAAGGGGTCCTTCCTACTGAAGGATTTGTGTGTCCACCTTGGTGTGTTCCAGCAAACTTCAGGAATGCAGAAATTTGCAAGAGTAAAAAAATTCATTTTATGATGTATTGATTTACTTAATTACTTTCTGCATGGCACTGTTGCAGCCTGTCACTGTGCTGTAGACATGTCTTACATCTGTGTTTTATTTAACTTCTGGATTTATTTCCTTGCAGGGCAGTAACACTGTATGACAGACCAGCTGCTTATTTTAAGGAAACACCATTAGAGCTTCAGCATCAGTTGTACATGAAACTTGCCAAAGACTATGAGCCTTTTAAACCACGGTATGTGTAAGCAAAGCATGTGGTTACAGTCCTTAACCAGTGGCAGAAGGTTACTGCACCTGGTTACCAGCCATACCCTTGCATGGGGTCACAAGAGGTCTCTCTGCCCTCTTGGCCAGCAGCTGATGCTTTGCAAGTTGACTTAACTGTCACTAGGCCAGAATGTGGGCAATCATTGGAGAGGGATACCACAATGCTTGGTGTGTGGAATAACAGCAGTGTGTTATTTGTAAAGTAGCTGGTGTAGATGCTGAGGGGATCTGTAATAGATTATCCCCAGGGTGGAACTCAGCAATTCCCACTGCACTGGGTAACAGGGACTGGAGGAGGCTTCATTAACAGCAGCCCTTGGATGCCTCATTATCAGCAGCCCTTCCTTTCACTTACTGTGGAGAGCTTTCAAGATCTTGGCCTAAGTGTTCAACATTTCCCCCTGGCAATGTGCAGGATGTCTCCTCTAGGAGATACAACAGGGAGTTAGTTACCTGACCAAGCTAATTCTTGAAACAGAAGTGAAAGCCACAGGAGATAGCAGCTTCTTTGGAAACAGCCACCCTAGAGTGATGGGTTCTGAGTTTAATGGAACAGAAGTGGTTTTGGCCTCCATCCTCTGCTGGGTGCCTGGGACAGAGCTGCAAAGAGAGGCTGTTTTCTCAAGTTGGTAAGGAAAGCTTGGTTAGAAGATGGAGTCGTGCCTGTACCAGCAGTGTCACTGGGCTCTTGGAGCAATGAGGAACAGGAGGAGTGGTCTCTGGTGTCATCAGGTATCTCTGCAGCTCAGAGCAAAGGGTTTGGGAGTGGGTGCTGGTTCAGCACAGTGTTCCCTCCTGTGTGTGCAGCCCATACTCAGTTGTGTCTCCGTAGTGCAGAGCCTGGCAGTGGGAATGCTGAGAGATCTGCCTTCACAGAAATGGAGGGGAAAAATGGGCATGTGGTAAAACCCCCAGGACGACCTGCCCTTCTGATCAGCAGCACAAGCTGGACAGGTTTGGAAGCAGTTTTATTTTTCATATTTAACCACTCTTTAACAAAAGATAAAGCCAGGGCTGTTTACACTTGCTGTAGAGTCATGTGTACATCAGTGGTGAAGTGACACTTTTCCTTCATTTGGCTTGAAGAATTTGAGGACAAGTTATATATGATACACCTTGGTGGCTAAAAAACAAATTATTTTTTAAGTTGTATTTTAATTAGAGAGCTACAGTCTAGAGGTTCAGCTTCAAGAAGGATTAGAAGAGATTTCCTATTTCTTTTTTGACCTTCCAGAGTAGAAATATTCTCTTGCATGGTGGTGTGAAAGGGATGAGGAGACTAAAATATTCACTCTTTTATTTCTGATAATGTGTATTAGACAGTTTTCTTCTTTTTTTCTCTGTGTGAAAAAAGGAACTGAGAGTGAAAACAAATCCATTGGTAGTAACCACAGGTAGAATTGTCTGTACCTTTGAATTAAAAGGACAAGTCCTACACTGAATTCTGTCACTGTAGAAGCTGGACAGCTTTGGGATATGCAGTGTGTGAGGCTTTTTTGTCTACCATGTCACCAGGAAGGGAAGCAAATTCCACTCTATATAGTAATGAAAATAGTTCCAGCAGATTTTACTTAATAGGAAAAGCATGATCTGTACTCAAATGATACAGATGAAGGTGAGAAAAATATTATATAAAAATAAATAATATAAATATAATATAAAAAATAATATAACATATAATATATATAATAAAAATAAATAATATAAATATTATATAAAAATATGTGTTGTTATTTCAAGACAATAATTCATTGTAAATGGTTGAAACACAAATGTCACTAATAAAGCCTTTTCTTTCAGAGGATGAAGATTTTTCAGTCCTTTTAAAAGCTTTGGAAGGTAGGTATGAAGGAATTCATCTCCCTCTTCAGGGGAGAATAGTTGTTTTCTGGGCACTTGTGGAGGGTTTTGCTAAAAAACTGTGCTCCCATATTTGAGTGAAAATGCAGGTGTATTTGATTAATTAGTGGCTTGAAAGTAGGAGTTGAAATACAGAAGTGCCACATCTGGATTCAGTTGGAGCAGTTGTCAGGGAGAATTATTGCTAAGTAGCTTGTCAATGGCAATTCTGCTTTGTAAGCTGTGACACACACTCCACAGGCATCTGCTGATAGGAAAGAAGGAAATACAGGGTGGTTTATGCTGTGGATTTAGCAGCTGCAGTTTCTAAAATGATACATTGAAACAGCTGAGCTGGTGTAATATATAATATATATAATATATATAATCAAAATAAATAATATAAATATTATATAAAAATATATGTTGTTATTTCAAGACAATAATTCATTGTAAATGGTTGAAACACAAATGTCACTAATAAAGCCTTTTCTTTCAGAGGATGAAGATTTTTCAGTCCTTTTAAAAGCTTTGGAAGGTAGGTATGAAGGAATTCATCTCCCTCTTCAGGGGAGAATAGTTGTTTTCTGGGCACTTGTGGAGGGTTTTGCTAAAAAACTGTGCTCCCATATTTGAGTGAAAATGCAGGTGTATTTGATTAATTAGTGGCTTGAAAGTAGGAGTTGAAATACAGAAGTGCCACATCTGGATTCAGTTGGAGCAGTTGTCAGGGAGAATTATTGCTAAGTAGCTTGTCAATGGCAATTCTGCTTTGTAAGCTGTGACACACACTCCACAGGCATCTGCTGATAGGAAAGAAGGAAATACAGGGTGGTTTATGCTGTGGATTTAGCAGCTGCAGTTTCTAAAATGATACATTGAAACAGCTGAGCTGGTGTAGTTTAGCAAATCTGTCATCATTAGTGCATTTTAAACCATAATTTATTGCTCTAGAAGTTTGTAAATTCATAGAATCATGAAATGGTTTGAGTTGGAAGGGAACTTCAAGTTCAACCAGTCCCAACCCCCTGCATGGGCAGGGACACCTCCCACCAGCCCAGGTTGCTCCAAGCCCCATCCAACCTGCCCTTCAATACTGCCAGGGATGGGGCAGCCACAGCTTCCCTGGGCAACCTGGGCCAGGCTCTCACCACCCTCAGAGTGAAGAATTTCCTCCTCATGTCCAACCTCAATCTCCCTCTTCCAGTTTTATTCCATCCCCCCATGTCCTAGCTGTGCCTTCTCTGGTGAAAAGTTTTCCTGGAGCCCCTTCAGGCCCTGGAAGGTGCTCTAAGGTCTCTTTGGAGCCTTCTCTTCTCCAGGCTGAACACCCCAACTCTCCCTCAGCCTGTGTCCAGAGCAGAATGTGTAACATTGCTACATCTACTATTTCATTAGGTGTGTGCTAGTGAAGAAGTTATGGAAGTAGAAAGCTAAACAGTTAATACCCTTGGACCCCTCTTCCCCAGGCATCCCTGGGTTTGTTGACTCTGAACAACTTCTCTTCTGCAGATTATGAGCAGTATGTCAAGGAGGGAGCCAGGCTTCCACCCCTGGTGTGTGTGATCACAGGTAACAGTTCATTGCACTGCAGGTCTGTCTGCTGAGGCAGAGAACCTTGTTTTCAATTTTGTTCTGTGCTGACTCTTTTGTTGATGGTGAAGAGAAGAGGGACTGTTTGTTGTCCTTGTATCTGGCTCTAAGAGGGGTGATTTACAGCTGAGCTGTTCCAGCCACATAACCCTGGCACAGCTTTAGGAAAGAGGAGGTCTCAGCTTCCATCCCTAGTGCAGCTCTGCATCCCTCCATGCTCAAAGGAGTGGAAGCTCAACATGAGGATGCTGCAGCAAAAGAAACTAAAATCTGATATTTGGAGTGTTAAGCAGGAAGGTTTTTATTTTGTGATTAAAAATAAAGGACCTGGTCATCAAGGAGGGTTTTGCCAGAAAGTTGTGTAGCCAGAGGGAATGTTTTTGGGTTAACTTTTGGCTTTTGGGTTAACTTTCTCCTTAAGAGCAAACTGAAACTTTGGGATTACGAAGGGCTAGTTGTACTGATGAAGTTTGTCATCAGCTGTTTGGTTGTGGCTGCAGATGAAGGGTATTGATGGCAGCCCCTTCTGAGAATGGGGTAGACTAAAGGTGAGGTTCAGGTCACCTGGGGGACTCACTCTTTGCTGGGACTTTTTGGGGTTTGATCTGATGTCCTTTTTGATGCACCTGCTCCACCAGGAGTTTGTCAGCTGTACAGTATGTTGCACACATCACACTATTTTCAGTCATCTTGATTAAAAAAGACTTAGATTTTTTTTTTTTTTTCTGTTTTAAACAGGCAAAGGCCTCTCAAAGAGTACTACAAGGGACTGATAAATCAGCTGCACTTTAAACATATCCAGATCTGCACCCCATGGCTGGAAGCTGAGGATTACCCTCTTCTGCTTGGTAAGTGGTGGATCAGGAAATAGGCTTGAGAATGTGTGAAAAACAATGCAGTGAGTTTGGAAACCTCTCAAAGAGTACTACAAGGGACTGATAAATCAGCTGCACTTTAAACATATCCAGATCTGCACCCCATGGCTGGAAGCTGAGGATTACCCTCTTCTGCTTGGTAAGTGGTGGATCAGGAAATAGGCTTGAGAATGTGTGAAAAACAATGCAGTGAGTTTGGAAAGAGCTGATCCAGGTTTTGCAGGGAAGCTGATAGAATGTGGTAAAGGAATGAAATTGTTGGTTAGTGACAATTTACAGATCCATTGTGGTTTTGGCTCATGCCAGCAAAGTGGCTGAATGTCCCTAACTAGAGTTTGTCACTGATATCCAAGGAAGCTGGTGTGTTCCCTGCAGTGCTGCTTCAGCCTGTCCCTTTTGCTCCTCATTTCTCCTAACTACACTGAAATGCAGAGGGCCTGTCCAGGTTCCACTTTACTTTCAGGGCCACTTTAGTAAATAAAATCAAGTTTTTTGCTGAGCATCCAGAAGTAGCTGAAATCCTAAATTAACATGTCCTTGGAATGATATTCCCTCAGCATGTTCCATGTGTTAGCATCAAGTGTGAGCAAGCTCAATAAAACAGTACAACACCTGTTCAACTTGATCTATATTCTGCAGGGATAGAGCCTGCCAGTGTGTGTGGCTGTAAAACACTCTATTTGATACTTTTAAACTAGTGAATATGTCTACAAAATGACAGGGTCATGTCTCTCTTTTGACACCCCTTGGGTGAGGCCTGGTGAGCCACACAGCACCTCTGGGGTGTGACAGTTTTCCTGGGTACTCACCCAGACCAAGAGGCAGGAAGGCTGTTTTAATAGACATCACATTTTAAAATTCCCTTCAATTTAACACACACTCACCTGGTGTGTTTCTAAAGCCTGACTAATCCTAATCACAAGATCTATTGCACTATTTTTTTTTTTTCCTCCTAAGTGCTAGAAACTTGAGTCACCACCAAATGGTGTTGAAAATAGCTGGTTTTTATCTTACATTTCCCAAAGAAGCCCATCAATAGAGAGGTTTACAGTCCAACTAGGAGAGCTGCTGTGAGGGAATTGAAGCTCTTGTCTGTTGTGTTTGCTTTTCAGGCTCAGCAGACCTGGGGGTGTGTCTCCACAAGTCCTCCAGTGGTTTGGATTTGCCCATGAAGGTGGTGGATATGTTTGGCTGCTGTTTGCCTGTGTGTGCAATACATTTTGAGTGGTAAGAGCTTGTTCTGAGACACTTCAGGTAGATCATAGAAAGCAGCATTTTAGAAAGCAGCAGTTTCAAAGCTTCTGTGTGTGTCAAATGAAATGGCAAGATTGTGCTATGATAACTTCATGGGTAATTCAATAAAATAAATTAGAAAGCAAGGTTGTTTTATTTCAGGTGGGTTAAAAAATTCACACTAGTGTTTCCTACAAAGGTGGGGGCATTTGATGAAACCAGTTGCCTAAAAAGCTGCCTTGTAAACTTTTTTTTGCCAAGTGTATATCCATATATACTTAATGGAAACAAAGCTTCTTTCTGCATTGACTGGCTCTGGCTGTGGGAGGTGAGTGTGTGCAGAGTCAGGCTTTGAATTCAGAGTCCTTTGGGGAAACTGGCTTTTATTTATTTATACATTCTTTGTGAAGAGCTCATGGGCTGGATCATGGGCAGATTTTTTCCTTCAAGCTTAATTTTGAAGTAGATAAGTGCCCTGATTTTTTCATCTATGTCCAGATGAGTGGCACAAGGACAGAGTGAGGGCCCTTTTGTGCAGGAATGGTAGATTTTGGATAGTCAATGAGTGAGAAACAGTCTTACAAGTTTAAACATTCTGGCCTAGAAGTGAGAAACAGTCTTACAAGTTTAAACATTCAAACCTGCTTTCTTCATTCCATTTCATCACATGTGAAGCTCATGTCTGTACATCCAGGTCATATTGTCACAGATATCCTAGCAGGGTCTCTTAGGATGCCACTGTGCAACTTTTTACATGTGTTGTTCCACTTGCTGCTCTTTGGCTCATGTCTTCTTCTGTGATTTTTTGTTCCCAGTTTACATGAGCTGGTGAAACACAACGAAAATGGCCTGATATTCAGGGACTCAAGTGAACTTGCAGAACAGCTCAAGGTAAAGGCTTGACTGGTTTTACTTTCCCACCAGCTGTAACTGCAGAGGTGCTACCATGTGAGCCATCTCTTCAGATCTGACTGTCTTCTGTGCATTTTGCATTCTCAGAAGATGTTGCTTTGCCTGGTGAACATTATTGGCCTCACTTCTATTTCTGCATGAACCTGAAGCAAGAACTTGTTAAATATTGTTGTCATTCCCTATTTCTGAGGCCAGACCAAAAAGCACACTCTGAGATCTTGGGAAGAAATTCTTCCCTGTGAAGGTGGTGAGAGCCTGGCCCAGGTTGCCCAGGGAAGCTGTTGAAGTGTTGAAGGGCAGGTTGGATGGGGCTTGGAGCAACCTGGGCTGGTGGGAGGTGTCCCTGCCCATGCAGGGGGTGGAACTAGATGATCTTTAAGGTCCCTTCCCATCCAAACCAGTCTGTGATTCTTTTACTGCAGCACTGGAGTTGAGGGCTAACCATGGGGAGGTTGGAATGAGCTGAAAATGTAAGATGATGGTATTTTTCTGTGGTTTTCCTCTTCTAACTTCCAGATGCTCTTCCTGGGATTTCCTACACTGGAAAGCAAACTTCACAGCTTCAGAAGAAACCTCCGTGCATCCCAGCAGCTGCGCTGGGATGAGAGCTGGGACCAGACTGTGCTTCCTTTGCTTGGACAGAATGAGTGACTTGGTGAGGGAGGAGGCTCCAAAACAGCTCCTACATTCCTGGAGCTGTTGATAAACAGCAAATAAACACTTTGTATTGTCTGTAGTTGCAATGTGTAAGCACTTGACTTTGGGACAAGGCTCTGGATACATCTTTTCCTTGACAACTGGAACTTCTCTTGTAAGAGCAGTGCTGAAGGTGCAGGATTTGTGCCAACGGGGTGAGCCTTGAGGGAACACAGGGGTCCTGCACTGGAGAGCTTGAGCCTTGTCTGGACTGCCTGTCCTTCCAGAATCACTTGGGATGGATCTTTAGGAAGTGGGAGGGAGGTTTAGATACTCTGGGAACTCTTATGTGAAAAATCTATTACCTGAGCTGCTGAAAGGTCACTTTTTGGTGAAGATACTTGAATACATAAACTGCTGCCATTTACACGCTTGGAAAGGAAGCACTTTAGTAGGTGATGTGGGTATTTTTCCCTGCAAGTGGGAGATGCCTTTGTTTTGAATGGGTTTATTTGAGCTCAGGGTACAGTTTTTCAAGCAACTGGTTTTCTCAGCAGTTAATATTTGATACCCTGACTCCTTTTGCATGGTTTTATTGAGACAGAACCATTTTGTTTCAAAGTTGCTTTCCTTTTTTACAGTGTGTGCAGGAATGTGAGTGCACAGCCACTGGAATGGGACACCTTTAGTGAACACTGAGAGGAAAAGACACCTTTCAGTGAGTGTTGGCACTTGTACACTGAAGTGAGTGTGCCTGTTTGCCTTGAGAAAGAACATGAAGTTACAAGAGTGAGATCACAGAGCCTTGGAATTGTCAGGGTTGGAAGGGACCTCTAGAGATCATCTAGTCCAACTCCCAGCTAAAGCAGGATCCCATGGAGCACATCCCACAGAACTGCATCCAGGTGGGTTTGAATGTCTCCAGAGAAGGGGACTCCACAACCCCCTGGGCAGCCTGTCCCAGGGCTCTGTCACCCTCACAGGGAAGAAGTTGTTTCTCATGTTCAGATGGAACTTCTCATGTTCCACCTTGTGCCCATTGCCCCTCATCACTACTGAGCAGAGTCTGGCTCCATCCTCCCTGCACCCACCCTGAGATACTTCCAAGCATTAGTTAGATCCCCCCCTCAGCCTTCTTCTCTCCAGGCTGAACAGTCCCAGCTCCCTCAGCCTTTGCTCATCATGGAGCTGCTCCAATCCCCCAGTCATTTTTGTCTCCCTCCTCTGGACCCTCTCCAGCAGTTCCCTGTCTCTCCTGAACTGGGGAGCCCAGAACTGGTCCCAGCTGTGGCCTTACCAGGGCACAGCAGAGGGGCAGGATGACCTTCCTCGACCTACTGGCCACACTCTTCCTCATCTGTCCCAGGATGAAATTGGCCTTCTTGGCCACAAGGGCACATTCCTGGCTCATGGATAATTCACTATCTAGCAGGACTCCCAGATCCTTCTCCTCAGAACTGCTTTCCAGCAGGTCCACCTCTATATGATTCTTCATGGTTCAAGTTACCCGTGTGCTGTTACTACAGAGGGATAAAGTTAAGTATTACTTAAGTTTTAAGCAGCTTTTAAACCAAGGTACAGAAAAGGAGAAAGAAGGGGACATTTGATTTCCTCCTTTGGAACCAGTACTGTCCAACAGGGCAATGAGTGCCTTATGGAGAGCTCCATAGCAGGGGGCCTCAGTTCCTCCTCCTCCTGGCAGCCTACATGGAGCTCTGGAGTATGATCCTTGTCTTCCCTGGCCAGGCCCAGGGGATGGGTTCCCCACAGCTCCTTGTTGAGGCTCCTTGTGTGTAGGAATGTCCCTCCAGTTCTGATCTTTGCCAGCAGAGTGGGGTGAAGACCTACAGCAGAGACCAGCACCATATAAGCCTGGGACATTACAATCTTTCCTTCATTAGTCCTTAATTTTGAAGCTGACCCCCACTGCAGGAGTGCAAGTCCATACCCACAAGTATAAAAACCAGCCCATTACAGCTGCTTTTAAAGTGAAGAAGTCTTGTCACGCTCCGTGGCAGTTCCTCATGATCCTGCCAGCTCAAAACAAAGATCACACAACGTTGGGTGCACAAGTGGGCACTGGGGCTGGTGTGGGGTCTTAGGAGAGATGGGGCAGAACCCCCTTGCTTTCTAACCCTCCTCACTGCAGTGGGAGGCTGGTGTGGCTGGATCCTGCCTCCCCTCTCCTGGGCTGTGCTGCATGGCAGCTGCTCCCCGTGTTGTCCTGCAGCAGCTGTGACAAGGCTAAAAGGTGATCCCAGATGGTCAAAGGAAGAGGCAAATGAGGTCAGATGTCACGTGCACAACGACCTTTTATTCGAGTAACACAACAAGGTCCCTAGAGCAGATAGGACAGGGAGGAAAACAGAGACAGAAAGGAAAGAGCACAGACCCAGAGGGCAGCAAGTGAGAACAGTTACCACCACAGTCCAGCTGTGTCGTCACTGGGGAAGTGGTTCCCTGCAACTACAGTGTCCCAGATTTTTATACAGTTCTTGCCCACTGCACCCCCAGTTTTCTCCCTGTATAAGTGAGAAAATCCTTCTATCTTCTCTGTGCTCCTCTGAGATGGGGGCGGGGGGGGGAAAGGACACACACACACGGTGCTGGGGCTGTGTCCTGCAGAGAGTCTTGGTTTGGCTAATGAAGGAGATCAGCCATTGCAAAAGAGGAGGTTGAGACAACTGGCACCACAGGATTAGTTTACTGCAGAGGAGGTTCTGTCCAGCTTGAGACTGGCACTTTATCTTTTCCTGCTAAGTTGGTGGTTTTCATGAGATCTCAAGGCCTGGTTATCACTGGATATTCTGTTCCCAGCACCAACTGAACTCCTTTGTCTCCAACCTCAGCATGTCCCACACTAACCTCCCCAGTTCTCAGCTTCACATCGCAGGAGGGGGAAGCAAAACGTTTGGGTAGGTTGCTGAGACATCTCTCTAGTCCATCAACAAATCTTGTTTAACTCTTAGATGCCTCAAGACAGACAACAGATAATCCTGAGTGCCTGAGCACATCACTTGTCCCTTGTTGGAGGGACAAGCCCTGTACATCCTGAATGTCACAAGTATTTCTTACTATGAAAAGTTGTTTCCTGCTCCCTTCTCAGTGCATGAGCCTCACCCTGGGATCCTGCAGATGTGCCTCCATTATTTAAAAATCTAGCTGGGGGGAAAAAAAAATAAACAGAGTTAAATGTTGTGGTCTTCTGCAGAATCCTTCTGCAGGACCATTAAGGCCTTTCTTTTTTAGCTGCTGCTTGAGGTTCACAGCTGCTGCTCAGGGGCAGCAGGTTGCTCTGCTGACAAGCACAGGCAGAAATGGACATCACTTTGACAGCAGCCTGGGTGCAGTTGGATCCTCAGTGCCTCTCATCCATGTTTCTGGAATTGAGCATCATCTTGTGGCAAGGAAGAGGGAGCTCCTGTTGACCTGCAAATTCTGTCAGATTTGCCAAATCTATATAAACAGCTGTAGAATAGTTACGTTTGGCTGCACATCATAGAGAGCACCAGTGTTGCTGTGGGCTGGAATGATCTGCCATCCAATCCCGGCCTTGTCTGGAAAAAGAAACACTGGGAATCATCATTCTGCTTAATAACATGAAAAGTACAAGTAAACAAAATGAAAACTACAAGGAAAAGAACACGTCAGGTTCTGTAAGGGGGTTTCTGGCCTGTTAAAGCCACAGCACGTGGTTCCAGATGTGTATTTTTAGAAGTGAAGGGGTGTGGTGGTGCTGGGGGCTCAGCATCACCCTGGGGATTGACTAATGGCTGGAGCTGAGCTGAGCAGCTCCTGGGCTGCAAAACATGGGCTTTGAAGAGTGAGGAATCATCCTGAATCACTCCCTACTTCAGCTCTAGTTGTGTTTGTTTTTTTCCATAGAATCACAGAATGTGTGAGGTTGGAAGGGACCTTTAAAGGTCATCCAGTCCAGCCCCCCTGCAGTGAGCAGGGACCTTTCTGACTAGACCAGGTTGCTCAGAGCTTCCTCCAGCCAGACCCTGAATGTCTCCAAGGATGGAGCCACCACCAACTCTCTGGGCAACCTGTTCCAGTGCCCAGGAAGAGCCCTCAAAGAAGAGTTAAGATGCAGGTTCTAGGCTGCATCTCCAGTGTTCTCCCTGTGACAGTGCAGCAGAGGTGGTTTCCTCCTTTCAGCTTCACCCTTTCCTAATCTCCTTGTACCACCACCCTTGCAGCTGATCTTGAGCTTGCACTCTTAAATGTGAGCAGTGACAGGGTGTAGCAAAAACTCAAGTTCCAACCTCCAGAGCAAATCCCTGTGGAAAAGTCACTTCTCTTGAGCAGACTGCTCTTAAATCCAGCTCTGGGGCAAGGAGCTCACGAGTGGACAACACCAGTCACCAAAAAATGCTCCTGGTCATCTTTGCATAACTCAATAATGGGGAAAGAGGCCAAAACTATTGATGAATATGATGAAAAAGGCACCTACCAAGTTGAGCCTGGAAGAGGAGATACGTGTCCTGGTTCCGAATGGTGAAGGCAACATAGACCTCAGGAGTTCTGGCTGCTTGGGAAGGAGGGAGCTTTTGTAGCATGGCAATGAGGGCTGAGGTTACCTCTGGGTCATACACCACATCTGCACAGAGAGGAGGAAAAAAATGCAATATTTATTAGGAGCTGAGCAAAAAGCAGAAGGGAAACCAGAAATCTCAAATATTCACTTTGCAGGAGAATATGGATTTTTGTGTTCAGGGGTGAAAAATTCCCCAGAAGAGATCTTAGAAAATGCCTCTATTTTATGTGCTATGTCAAGTTTAGAATCACAGAATTCCAGGGGTTGGAGGAGACCTCTAAAGATCCCCCAGCCCACCCCCCCTGCCAGAGCAGGGGCACCCAGAGCACATCACACAGGAACGTGGCCGGGGGGGTTGGAATGTCTCCAGAGAAGGAGACTCCACAGCCTCTCTGGGCAGCCTGGCCCAGGGCTCTGGCTCCCTCACAGGAAAGAAGTTCTTCCTGAGATTCCCATGGAACCTCCTGTGCTCCAGTTTGCACCCAGTGCCCCTTGTCCTGTCACTGGACATCACTGCACAAAGCCTGGCTCTGTCCTCCTGACACTGCCCTGAACAGATTTGTGCCCATGGATGAGGTGGCCCCTCAGTCTCCTCTTCTCCAAGCCCAACAGACCCAGCTCCCTCAGCCTTTCCTCAGCAGGGAGATGTTCTCCTCCCTTCATCATCTCTGTGGCTCTGCCCTGGACTCTTTCAAGCAGTTCCCTGTCCTTCTGGAACTGAGGGGCCCAGAACTGGACACAACATCCCAGATGTGGCCTCACCAGGGCAGAACAGAGGGGCAGAACCTCCCTGACCTACTAACCACCCCCTTTCTAATGCACCCCAAATCCCATTGGCCTTCTTGGCCACAAGGAGACATTGCTGGCTCATGCTCATCCTCCTGCCCACCAGGACCCCCAAGTCTCTTTCCCCTGTGCTGCTCTCCAGCAGCTCATCCCCCAACCTGTACTGGTCCATGGGGTTGTTCTTCCCCAGCTGCAAGACTCTACACTTGTCCTTGTTGAGTTCCATCAAGTTTCTCCCCACCCAACTCTCAGCCTGTCCAGGTCTCCCTGAATGGCAGCACAGCCTGCTGGTGTGTCAGTCACCCCTCCCAGTTTGGTGTCACCAGCAAACGTGCTGAGGGAACACTCTGTTCCCTCATCCAGGTCCTTGATGAAAATACTGAACAGCACGGGTCCCAGTACTGACCCCTGAGGGACCCCACTGGTCCCAGACCTCCAACTGGATCCTGTCCCATTGACCACTCTCCTCTCTAACAGCAGCCCAAAAATCCCTAAAAATCAGGGCTCCTTTTTGTAAATGGATTGTCAGATATTGTCTTTAAGCTCATCTTGAGGGAGACAACAAAAAATGTCCTGAGCAGAACAAAACTTCTCAAGGTCTGTATTTCTGAGGCTGCAAAGGGCTCTGAGTGCAGCTTTTCCCATCTTGAGTCCCTTCCTTGAGGGCAGAACTTGTGATGGGAGGGAAGAGTGATCACTGGAGTCAGGAAGTGATCCCTGGGATCAGGAACTGATCACTGGGATCAGGAATCAGCAGTGGGATCCTGGAAGGGGTGTCTGGTGTTCAGGACCTGTGCTCCAGAGCTGGTGACTGCACAGGCTGGAGGTGTGTGCAGCTCCTGGTGACAGAGGTACCAGTTACTCTTGATGCAACTAAGGGAATGTCCTGCAGGAACTAGTACCAGCACATAGAAGTCCCCTGAAAGGGGCCTAGAAGAAGGTGGGGGAAGGGCTGTTCACAGGGCATGTAATGAGAGGACAAGGGGTGATGGTTTCAAGCTAGAAAAGGACATTAGGAAGAAGTTCTTTGCTATGAGGGTGGTGGGTCACTGGAACAGGTTGCCTAGAGAGGTGGTGGAGCTCCCATCCCTGGAGACATTCAAGGTCAGGCTGGATGGGGCTCTGAACAACCTGGTCTAGTTGGAGATGTCCCTGCTTATTGTAGGGGAGTTGGATTAGATGAGCTTGAGAAGTCCCTTCCAACCCCAGCCATTCTATGAAAGAGGGAATGGAGAAGTGGGCCAGGAGCAGCTGTTGCAGCCTTCCAGGAACACCCACAGCAGCAGGGGGAGTGGTGCCTGCACACTGAGACTCTGCACCCCCCCCCAAGCTGCCCAGCCCCCCCCCCAGCACACAGTGGGACCTCCACGGTACCTGCTGCAATGACGACGTCAGGCTGAAGACCCACCAGCTGTTTTTCTGTCACTGAGCCCCAGTCAAGCTCTGCAACAACTACTTGTGGTTTCTGGTTGTTGGCTGCTCCTGCCTCCAGGCCCTGGAGCTCAACTGGGCTGTGACCAGAAGCTTCAGGCTCCAAGACCAAGCCATTCAAATGGATGTTTTCTCTCAGCTGCTTGAGCACCCAGGGGTGACAGTCACTGAAGATGTATGTCCTGGGACTGCAGGTTTTACAGATGGCAATTCCAGTGAAGCCAATCCCACTTCCTAATTCCAAGACTGTCCTGAAGGGGAACGGAGTCAAAAAAGTACTTATTAGGACTCTAAGTTGAGGTAGGACATCAAAGCATTCCAGGTACATCTAAAGGTAAAATCACTTACAGATGATTGCAATAATTTTGGAGTAAAACATTTACAATCTAATCTTAATGTGATCTTGGAAGAGTTGGGAAGCACTGAAGATGCAATTAAAAGCATAAATATTAATTACTTTAAATACTGCTTTTGTGTGTGGCACAGAGCATTTCCACTGTGGGCATGAGACACGTTCCCAGCTGGTTCTAGACTCCTGCAGCATGGTTGTCTCCAGCTAAACCTCCTTGGGTTTTGTTCTTTTGTCTTCATCTAAACTACCCTTTTCACGGTCAGTGGAGAGAAGCAGCCCCTTGGGCAGCACAGGCCCTTGGGAGGCCCAGATTTTAAATGAACTGAACTCAATCTTTCCTCAGAGGTGCTTATTCCTGTTTATAAACAAAGTGGAGCCACTAGAACCAGGTGTGCACACCTGCAGATGGAGCATCTCCAGCCAGGGGAGGTGGATCCCCTTGTGGGGATCCCCAGTGTGCTACCTAAAGGGGACTGGTGGCTGAAGTGCAAGGTCAGCCCACACCAGGTCACAGCTTTGATCTTAAAACCTGTCTTAAAAACCCCTGAGCTTCTCTCCTGGATCAAAGTTTGACCATTGCAGAACAAAGAGCATCAGCCCCCCAGCAGCAAAAGGGTGTAGTCATTTCATAGGATCATAGAATCATCCAGGTTGGAAGGGACCTTAAAGATCATCCAGCTCCAACCCCCCTGCCATGAGCAGGGAACCACCAGACCAGGCTGCACAAAACCTCATCCAGCCTGGCCTTAAAATCCTCCAGGGATGGGGCATCAACAACCCCCCTGGGCAACCCATCCCAGTTCCTCACCACCCTGATAGTGAAGGATTTCTTCCTAATATCTCACCTGAATCTCCCCTCTCTCAGTTTAAAACCATCACCCCTTGTCCTCTCACTACTTTCTCTGATGAAAAATCCCTCCCCAGCTTTCCTGGAGCCCCTTCAGGCCCTGGAAGGTGCTCTAAGGTCTCCCTGGAGCCTTCTCTTCTCCAGGCTGAACACCCCAACTCTCTCAGCCTGGCTCCAGAGCAGAGCTGCTCCAGCCCTTGGATCATCTTGGTGGCTCTTCTCTGGACCCTCTCCAACAAGTCTAGATCTGTCTTCTGCTGAGGGCATCAGAACTGTGCACAGTGTTCCAGGTGGGGTCTGACCAGAGCAGAGCAGAGAGGAAGAATCCCCTCCCTGGCCCTGCTGGCCACACTTCTTGTGATGCAGCCCAGGATGCAGTTGGTTTCTGGGCTCCAGCCCTCACTGGTGTCTCACACTGAGCTCCTCATCTCCTCCCAGCCCCAAGTCCTTCTCCTCGGGGCTGCTCTCCAGCCATTCTCCCCCCAGCCTGGATTTGTGCTTGGGGTTGTGCCAACCCAGGTGCAGGACCCTGCATTTCAATGACTCTGTGACCAAGGCTGTATAACATGACATGCCAGCAGCACAGCTCAGGGCAGGAATGAAAACCTCCTTCCCCAGTACCTGTCACTGAAGAGCTCCCTGTGCTCCATGGCCCACCCGGCGAGGTGAAGAGCTGCATCCCAGGTGACCAGCCCCGTGGTGCCCCCAGAGATCATGGCCAGGCTCTCCACGAGGGTCACACACGCTCCCCCGGGCTGGAGGACACAGCAGGAGACAAAGGGGGAGCAGCACAGTCAACAGGGGTGACATTTTACAATTGATATTTCCACGCTGCAGGTTTTTGGAGGGAGGGTTTTGGAAGCAAATCCCTGCTCAGTTCAGCTGATCAGACCTGATGCATCACAGGGCAGGGGCAGCTCTTACCAACAAGTAGTTTTTGTAGCAGTGAGTAGATTCCTCCTCACATAAAACACCTGCCAGTGCCTCGTACAGCTCGTCCAGGGGCTCTGCTGCCGTGGATTCGTGCTGTGCAGGAGGGAGGGGGGCAGGTTTGGGTGGCAAATTGTTGTGAAACAGAACCCAAACACACAGGAAATACCGTTTTAATACATCACTGCCCAGGTCATTGCCCCTGGGTGCTGTGTTGGTGGGTACAAAGCACCCAGTCGAGAGCATGAGATGAGAAAGGAGGTGCCAGCAGTTACCTTTTTGATGAGTTGGGTCAGAAAGCACCTTCTGTACCTGGTGGAAGGGGGGTACCTCACACACAGGGGGTGCAGGATGGTCTGGAAGAAGAGCAGCAACAGAAACCAGTCACCCAGGGAAACTGGTGGGCAGAAAGGGGGCAGAGACCCAGGTGCCACTGGTGGGGGTTCTGTCAGGCTGGAGGGGACAGGCATGGAATGGGGACATTTCCTGATCCCTTCACAGATCTGGGGCAGCAAAGGGTTTTCCCACTTTTCAGGAAGTAAGGAGAGAAACTGAGTGGAAAGAGAGTCCAGTTTGCTCTGCTCCTCCTCTTGCTTTTCCCTTCTCTCTGCTTTGTCACCCGACCTGGGATGTCCCATCCCCGTGCCCAGTGCAGGGGCTGATGAGGGGCCCGTTCCTGGGCGGGTGGGAACGTCGTGTCCCTCCTGCACTGGGATGGAGGAGCAGCCGGGCTGACCTGGTGGCACCGGCCACTGTGCCCCGGGACACGGGCACGGGCTGCTGAACGGGTAACGGGCTGTCCTGCCGGGACACCGGGAGCTGGGACACCGGGAGCTGGGATACTGGGAGCTGGGACACTGGGACACGGGGACACAGGGAGCTGGGACATGGGGACACTGGGACACTGGGAGCTGGGACATGGGGAGCTGGGATACTGGGAGCTGGGACACTGGGACACTGGGACACAGGGAGCTGGGACACTGAGACACTGGGACACGGGGAGCTGGGACACTGGGACATGGGGACACTGGGACACCGGGAGCTGGGACACCGGGAGCTGGGATACTGGGAGCTGGGACACTGAGACACTGGGACACCGGGAGCTGGGACACTGGGACATGGGGACAC